AAATTAAAACATTGCGCTATTCTATCAAGAACTTAATATCATCAGAAAATGCTTTAGGAACGAGAGACAGCATCGTATAATCGCGTGCAGTAACGACATCTGATGTATCTGCATTCGTAAGGACACCTCACGACTTGCCTTTTTTCAAGAATAAAAAGTTTTCATGTAATTAACTGTAAGAAAGCGAAGTTACAAAAGAAAATACACACTTTTAAGTATTATAAATTATCGCTAAAAGCAAGCGTATCTTATTAAAGTTTGCGTATCCGCACTGTAAAATAAATCTTAATCATGTTCCTTTGTATTTTATTTTATTTAACGGAGCAATAATATATCATTGACGAAGATAAAGTGCTGAAAATACGAAATTGTCAAGTAAATAACGCGCGCAAGTAAACTTAATTTATAATCTAGAATATGAAATTTAGACATAATTATCAATGCATCCACCTCCGTTCTGGGATTAATTGGCACACGTGAATATTCATCCGTTACATATGAATGCTCAATTGCGCTGATTAACGACTTTTGACGGCGAATTAATAATTAGCGACCGTCGGGCGCTCAATTCTCCCCGATTATCTTGACGACGACGATGATTTTTCGCAGCACCAAACGAAAGTCTCGGCGCGAGTTGCGCAAGCTGGGCGAATAAAACAATCCCGGTGTTTATATACACATCTACCCCTTCCGCGGACCCTCACGTGAAATGGCTACAAAATAACACAATTACAACGCGACCACGGGTTCACCCTCGGTGACCGGCGCTCGTCCTCGTTCTCACCCCTTGTGATCCCGCACTTTTCTTTCTTCCCTCTCTCGTTGCTCTATTACAGCACCGTTGCAGGAAAAAAGAAACGAAAAGAGAGAGACCTGCGATAGAGGAAAGAGGAGGATAAGATCTGAGGGGGCAAAGAGAGGGGAGATGGTGAGAAAGAATGAGAAGATAAGAGAAAGGTAGGGACGAAAGCAGGTCTGACCGACTCGTTACAAGTCTATTCAGACATCCGGAAAGAACAGCGCGTGCCGGTATTCATTTTGTTGACCGGAACCATTATCTGCCCCTTCGCTCGTTTTTTCTCTCTCGTTCGCTCTCTCGCTTATTCCTTTCAACCCCGAGTTTAGCCGCCGATGTAGCCGTTTTAAAACCTTACGGCTAATTTATTAATCCTACCAGGGCAACCGCTCGCCCTCAGTTATCCGGTAAACCTTTTTTTTCACCGAGCGCTAATTAAAAACCAGGAAGTCTCGGCAATCCTTTCTCGAAATAAAAATAACGTCGATTTCCTCTATCCCGAATTTAGTAAGATCTGTAATGTATTAACTTGATACTCGTTATGTTTTTGTATATTTAATTACAGGATTCATTTTTGCTCGAATGGCATCAATCGAGCATTTTTCGATTTTAACCTCTGGCAAACTCTGATTTTGAAACAAAATTAATCCGCCGAGGTCCCTCTCTTTTCTTCTCGAGGAATTACGCGAAGCTTTGAACAATCCCGACGGCATGTGCCGCTGTTCAACTTCGGAACTCGAGAGGCATCGTGGTCCGCAAATAAAGCATGCCGCTAATGACGTCACGTATCGTAATCCAATTTTATGGGGAGGGGGATGGATGTGCCGCCTGCCTTAAGAAAAAGGCGAACACCTAAGTAGGGATCGACTTTTCTTTCTCTATCCATTCCTCCCGTCGGTTCTCACTCTTCTGAACGCGAAATGACGACCTGATGAAGTTTCTCGGCGTCACGGCGCTCGATTGGAGAACCCCGACGTAGTTGGCTAAGGGATCAAGCCTGGGTGGAGGATTAGTACATGACAAAGTTTATAAAAGTGTGCTCACTTCGAACCCCCGTCAACTAACCTAAAGCTGGCCTCCCCTTAAGAGGCTCCTCCGAAGTCCCTTCCAAAATCCTCACATGTGATAAACTTATCTATCCGTTCCGTCGCGGCTGTGATATACCTGCGATAGCATATAGCAAACATTCATGAAACGAAATTTCTACTTTCGTCTCGAATTGATTTTCAAAAAATGTAAATTAAGAAATGCATATCATAAATTATTATTGGAAAGATATTAATTTTTTTTATGTCTTCAGATCACACACTTGTACTTGTAATTATTATTAGATTGATCTGCCATTATATATTTAGAAAAATTAAAATTACTAGGTGTGAGAGGTCTCATGGAAACTTTGTAAAATTATGAGCATAACGATTATGAGCAAATTGTTATTAAACGGATATTTGTTACGAAAGCTCAAGCTTCCAAAGCTATAGCTTATGAATGCACGACAGTATCTAATATAGCTTCCAGCCGATCACGCTGTCTGATTCTAAGGATTGGATAGAAAACCTTTAGTTACGTTTATCGTTCACGATTGAAATAAAGAGAGCCTTGCCGAAGGGTCTCATATTAACCGATTGGTACTTCTTGGTTACCTGCAGTGCACTAGAAACCCGTAATTGTCTGGTCACGCGAGGTCGCCCCGGGAATACGAACGCGATCATACGTGACGTGCACTATACCCACCATTAGAACTAGTGCACGACAGATGGTACAATTGGTCGTTTGGGCATGCCCGTCTGGCACCGCTCATATTTTCGTGTCGCAAGAAAAGAAAGGACTTGAAAAAGTATCGAAAAAAATTTAGAAATTACCAACGCGAGTTATCAGCTAATGCAGGTCTCCAATGGCATGGACTGTACGTCTTTAAACAACTCCCGATGAGAGGCGTTGTGCCCTGTGTGTCTACGACAACTCATTCACAAATGGGAGACATTCGCAATTCGCGAATAAAAATCTATGACCTGTTCTGGAGTTTTTTTTCACTCGGTCGAATAATACCGAATAATACAAATAACAAACGACAGAAAATTGTATCACGTTCCTACTACATAGATAGAAGGAACAAAATATCTCATGGCGAAACTTTTCCATGATCACTGCAAGTTTCGTTCTGTCGCACGGGAATGAAGTATCTATCTGTTCTTTGTTTCGCGGACAGTTGTAGGCCGGCCACATACCCTGTGCTAATCCCGAAGGCTTAGTCATGGGACAGAGAAATCCCAGAGGCTATTCACAAATGCGTAACTCGTGCGACGAGATCCAGGCTGACCACACGCGAGGCCATTTCCACCCTTCTGGACCGTCCTTTCAACTTTCACTTGGGGCCTCTCGCCACAAGATTGGGGAAATTCATCCTGAAAAATGCTACTAAATAGCATACACCACCAACGAAGCTGTACAAATTTACTAAAATTTCTTTCCGAGATATATCTCTAACGTCTATTATAGATAGAGAGATTAAAAGCATGATATATTTTTAATTATATATTGTTTTTACGATGTAAAATATTCTCTATAGCGATGTCTCCATTCTAAATACACAATGTATTTAAAACATATATTTACCTTTGCTTTACATTTACTTACTTTACAATTTATGATTGTAAAAAATTAGAACGTAACTGGTTTGGTATAAAAATTTAAACGTTTTAAAATTTCATAGGCCCACGTTTTTTCTACATTATTATATATATATTAGATTTTTCGCGAGATGATTTTTTTTTGAATATATGAATTATTTATTTTATATATATATATATATATATATATATATTTTATATATTTCTTTATTTATTTTAGGAAATCGAGCGGAATAATGAAATTGATTTATTATTGATATTACTTTTACATATTTTATCTTTATGTTAATTGTTATTGATTCTATTTTAATATAAATAATTTCTAGGACAGAAGATAGAATTCTTACAAATAAAATTTTTATATGATATAGACATATGTCTCTCGCTACTCTTGCTCGCAGAGTCTTTTGCCCTGACTGTTCAACGTTCTGTATGAAGGATAACATGATATATTGGCAAACGGGGAGTAAGCTATATTCTGGTTCGATGTGCAGAATGAAACTACGCGACGATGTCGAACACATCGGCTGTCAGCCATTCAATAGTTAATTTCCATTCAACTACTCACGCCACTGGCAGTGCACATCAAAATACTATATTATTTTTCATATACTTTCCAATATTCTCATATTTTTTATCATATACTTTCAAGATTATAGTGCATTAAGATTTCTTTGATATCTTTCATTGACTATTAATTAATAATAATTTTAACTTGCAAAATAATTATATGTTTCTTTACGATATAATATGTTTAAACGATGTTTAGTACAATGCTAGCGTAAAGACTGCTGTTGAAAATGATATTTTAGACTATGTAAAGCTTTTACATTACTACTATGTCTTTGTTTAAATATTGATTTGTATTCGAATGACGAAGCGAAAGCGGATTGCGTGCGATATTTTCGCGTCAATTGGCCGCAAGTACAAGATTATGAAATCAAATGCAATAACAACGCATTAATACGTATTAAGCCGACGCTGTATTCCGGTCGATGCGTTCCTGCACAACATTCGTCAACAGTGTAAATATCCAATTTATTCAGAATTACAACCCGCTTGTGTCGGAATCATCAATTTTGATGCAGAAATAATGTATCGCAGGGATATGTTGCCTAATACTGCGCACTTGATATTATCATAATTTGCAATTAATATCAATGTGCAATAAACTTAAAGAAATATATTTTCTCTATCTTCAATTTCTTGACTTGATAATTTACTGACTTTGTTAGATTTGTTCCAAATTGATATTAATTAATCATTATATAATGTACTTAAATTTTATTTTGAGCACATATCTAGAGACGTTTAGATTAAATTTTATTTTGTATTTTTGTATTTATGGAATATATATTATATGTTATTAAAAAAATCATTCGTTTATGAACTATATAAAATGGTAAATCCTGGATTGTGTGACTTTAATTTGTTTTAAACAAACAATGTTTGAATGACGCAGTTTCTTCAGCTAATATTTAATAATAAACATTTTTATATTAAAAATTTAATTAGCTTAAATTTATTGGTTGGAACCTTACGTAAAGTCGCACAAGCCCGATAAGCTCGAGTAAAAACTAGTGTACGTCGTATTTCATGAATATCTAAAACGGCACTTAATAGACTAACATCTGCCTCTATGTGGCGGTTTGATTTGTTACAGAGGGCAACAAGTGCCCGACCCCAGGCTGCACGGGACAGGGTCACGTGACCGGACTCTACTCTCACCACCGCAGGTAAGCAATTATCGGTAATTAACCTGCGCTCCGCACTCAGCTACAGCCGATTACACACCTACGCGGTTTTACGTGGGGCGTTATTCAGAAACAGACAAGCTATCAATAAGCTAATTCGCGATCTGCATATCAGATATCGGAACAATAAATGTGCATATATTGGTGATGGCAAGAAAGGAATAAATAAATTCAAAATAAAAAAATAAATAAAAACCAGAAGAGAATTTTTAATTTTAATGCATACTCTAGACACATAATTCTTAAGAGAAAGGCCGAAAATACTGAAACCTTAAATTTTAAACATTGTTAAGCAGTTTCTGTGCTTGCAGCCTTTCTGGATGTCCACAAAAGGATAAATTAACTCCAGAGAGTAAGTACTTCTGTATTAAATTAATTACTTCTTATTGTAGCTATATAGTGCATCTTCTTTTTGCGAGAGTGTCTTTTTCTCATAACGAGGCGAGGGAGTGGAGAATGACTCTTGTTGTGGATTATTTAAAAAGAAATTTCACAATTAATTTTATCAATGAATAATTCCTGAAATTGTCCGGAAATTTTCAAATATAATATTCTAGTAAATATGCAACTTCCAAGTATTGTATTTTTAAAATAATGTTTGCTTTTGGCAAACGATTGGAATATTCTGTCTCTAATTTGGCTTTCGCTTTTCCTCGAAACCTTTCTCGATTGGCCTGGTTATCAAAAGGCCATTGTTCTTCCTCGCCTCATTAAACGCAACAAAAAATATATCTTCGATATACGAAGTCAAATTAGAAAGAGAAAATGGATATTTTTCAGGGATGAGCGCGGTGCACGCGTCGCGTATGTGGGTGTGTGCGTGTGCGTATGCGTGTGCGTGTATATCTGCTGTTGTATTCTTTGCGCTTTTCGTTTGCGGGGTAGAGAGCTTTATTTATTGCGTTCCTTTTGATTTACCGTTCTGTTCGTAGTACATTATATAGTAGAGAATTATATCACCACACTCTCGAATTTGATTGATACTGGTCGTGCCTATGAACCCTCTGGAGAACTCGAGACACGGGCGGCGCGACGAGCCCGGCGTATGCGCACACGCCGGGCACTTCACACACGGAGGACACTTATGCGATTGAGTATAATTACGCAAAGAATTATATTATTAATTATGATCGATGTCCGGCATTCCATTGATGTACGAGTTTCCACACTACTACGGATATTCCGCCCTTTCCCCCTTGATGACAAATCGAATTGTCAGAATTGTCGAATTGGCGCAGCCAATGTCGCGTATGGCGCGGACATGCATACAATCGCATAATTTTTATTTCTATTTATGGAAAATTTGCCTCTCGTTCCCTTCGTTTTGAGACTGCAGGATCTTTCAAGGCATCTTAAGATCGAGCGTTTACGTTCGCTCACTCGCTCGTTCGCTCGTTCGCGTACGACGAGCAAATGTCATTCTCCTCGATGTAGCACACCACCTCACACAGATTGTAAGTTATTGTGTTATAATTTTCTATCGATTAATTAAATGTCTTTACTTGTGTTTCTCTCTACCCGCTCGGTATATACTTGATTGTACTGTTACACATTAATTTGCGTTCCACACGCGGTGTGACGCGGTGTATTCCGTCTCTCTTGACATTCTCCGATTGATTTTACTGTTCTCTGTTACTTTTCTTTTACAAACGTGCGGATTTCTTCTTCTTGTTTCTATAAAATCCATTTTCGCCCTCGCTCGTTCGCAAGAAGCGACAAATATTCGTGATATCCAGAACTCATTCTCTCCCTTTCCCTTGTTCCTTTTTGGGAACACGCAATATTTAACACGGATAATTATACTCAATGCATAAAGATAGCTCGTCTTAACGGCATCTTATCACATCTGTCGGGTGCGTGTGCGCCGCGTCTCTCTAATTGTGTGGACGTAAACGCGCGTGTGTACGAACATGCCAAAAAACGTGTGTAACCACGCCACGTGTCTCTGGGTTCTCGCAGTTCTGGCGATGCATGAGACCATATTGAAATGCCCGACGCCTGGTTGCAACGGCCGCGGTCATGTCAGCTCCAATCGGAACACACATAGGAGTCTGTCCGGATGTCCCATCGCCGCGGCCAATAAGCAGGCCGCACGCGAGGCACGACAAAAGGCTCAAGGTAAGGCGGTATGCAGGATTGCTCTTCGTGCGTGTCCGCAATACTCCGGATATAAAAAATCTTGTCGCTGTCCCACGCGACTTAAATGCTGGGAACAAGACAGAAGGATATAAAGCTCATGCAGAAAACATATCTCACGTTCTCTTTGCAATCCGTTGCGCTCATGTGTTAATTGTGATTGTGATAAAATTGCATAACTTGCGATGAATTTTTCATACGAATTTATGCGGCACGATTGCGTTTATTTGCAAAGATTTTTAAGCGTTATCATTCATTGCATATGCTGATTATAAACTATTATTGATAATTTTATATTTGCTTCATTTCCTCAAATTAAATTTGGGTTTTAGTTAAATATTAGTTTGTATATAGATTTTAATATACTTGATGTAATATTAATGACTCAGTTAAAAGTGTCACTTATAATTCCTTCGTTTTTCTCTTTTTAGAGAGACTATTTTTATATTTTATATAGCCTGTACATGTATAAACTGAATTATTAAAATATTTATATAAAAAATTTGAAATAAAAATTATAGTTTTA